TGAGAAAACAGCCCTGCGATCCTGGAGCCCGGAAACAAGGTGGCTCTGCGGGGCCATTTCCTCACACCAAGGCCCCAGTTCAGAAGGCAGCCCCTGCCTGCCAGAGATAAGAGAGGCAGGAAAAGTGCATTCTGGGGTCCCAGCCCCCTACTCTGCAAACAGAAACACAGGCACTGTGTGCTCCTGGGGGTCCCAGGGCCCTAGAACCGGCAGAGAGCACACATTACTGCTTCCACCTTGTGCGGAAGAGCACGGTGGGCAGGTCCGTCTCTGCTCCCCGGGTCTCTGACACCCTGGCAGGGAGGAACTGGGCATTGTTGCCAAAAATAAACGTTCCCTCTCCCGCTGCCTGGCTCCCGGCTCCCGCTCATTAGGATGCGTGGCGTTTGGCTGCGGTCCCACACCTTGCAGCTCATTATAAATATGCAGTCGCTGCTGGCGCTACCCCAATCATCTCTGCAATCAGAGCTTTTAATTAGGTTAATTAAATTGTATCAAATCTCGCAGGGACGCAGTTCACTGATGCTGATGAGGCAGCCAAAACAGACCCCAGCTCCTCCGCTAATGAAGGCCGCTGCCTGCCTGAGCCATGAGGGAGCGGGAGCGCATAATAAATGGGCCCGTCCTCTGGGAGGAGCTGCTGCCCAGGCCCTGAGCTCTGGGGACCTGGCAGGGGGTCTGCATCAAGCGGTCCAGGCTCCAGCTGCAGCAGAGGCTTCTGCCCCAGGAGCCGGCCCCTTCACACGAGAACCCGGGCAGCTTCAGGAGCCCAGGCGCTGCCACCCTTACGTGGCAAACTTGAGGGTGTCCCCAAGGTCCACTGACTCTGTCTGGGGCTCTTGTTTACTTCTCCCCCAGAATGGCCCAACAAGGCCAGGGCTCCCTCTCCTACACACCTACGCACACACACACACACCAGCAGTTAGCCCTGTCACTGCTCCCGGATTGTCTTATTAGCCAGAGTGGCCAGGCTGAAACTAGAAAGCCCATCCTGCCACTATTGGCCTAGTCTCCATCTGCCATAGAGACCATCTGCCCCTGGTGGGGGGCAGGGGCGGTCTATAATGCTACCAGCCAGCAACAGGAGGGGGTGCTGTCCCGTAGGCTCTGTGTGCCAGATGGACCTTCTATATTCCACCTACCACTCCACCTCAAGAGCCCTCTGCCTGGGAGGGACACCTGTCCCAGACCTCCTGGGATCAAATTAGCTAGGGAGGGGAGATGGTCCCCTCCTTCCATGGTCCCTCGCCATCCTGAGCTCGCTGTCCCATGCCCTGGGAATCCATCTCCGGGCACTGGAGACCACAGGCTCCAGAGCTGGAGGGCCCTGCAAATGTTCTCCCCTGCCTGTAAGCAGGAAGGCAGGTGCTGCCACCTCCAAAGGGGCTGTCCCCAGCACTCCACTCAGCCTGGCTCCAACCCCTCCCCTTAACCCCTCTGTCACTGGTCTCAGTGTCTCTGAGCAGATGAGGAGAGAGAATGGGGAAATTTTTAGTGCTCTCGGGACAAGTTGTTTCTGCTACAGAAGCTGGTTTTTTTGGTTTGGAAAGGTGTTTTTTTTTTTTTTTTTCCACCCAGTAATGTGAAAACATGAAACCCGAAACCAACCCCCCACATTTGTCACCTCTGAGAGAAGCCTTTGGGGTAACTGGGAGAAAGCTGTAAATGAGTCAAGCTGATTCAGGGCGGCGGGGGGGGGGGGGGGGGCTGCCCAGCTGCCTGGGGCACCAGGGTTTTATTAACACGATCTGAGCATGGCCGTCAGGTGACAGATGCAGGGAGGGGAAAGGGCTTCATTTCCATCCTCTGCTTACCCCCAAACAGCAGTCCCCTTGATACATTCCTTTTGCCTAGAAAAAGCTGGGTCCTTAGCTCCGTTCTGGACAAGCCTCTTCTACCACCACGCAGGAGCACAGGACTGGACTGTGTCACCACACCAGCCCTAAGCAGTTTGTCCCCTTTACATCAAGCGAAGCAGACAAGATGAACAGGGAGAGCTAGGGGTATGTTTCACCTAGAAGTAGATTGGATGAGACTTCCTAAATGTGATGATGATGGATCCAAGAATAGGGAGCCGAGAGATTCCTTACAGGGAGTCTGAGAAGCGGTGGAGACTTTCTTCCCTCTGGCCAGAGCAGTTTAGGAAAGAACAGGCCGAAGCATGAACTGGGCAGCCCCTCTAGACTCCAACCTCTCAGCAATGGGCTTGGGAAGGGAAGCTATGCCTCCCTTTGTTTCACAGCTTCCCTCTGATCCTTCCCGGCACTTTCTGCTGAGACAGACCTGTAGAGACCTGGTTGGGTACAGAGAGCGCACCCTCTGACCCCAGGAGGCAGCCGCATATGTCCAAGAGGCCTGCCAGCTCCACCTCAACACAGAACTTCAGGTCCGCCCCCAATTCCTCCACTCACCTGGGGCTTTGAGCCAAGACTCCCACCCACGGTTCAGCCCGCCCTTCCCCAACACCCTGCACATAAGGCTCCAGGAACTGGCATGCTGGGAGAACTGGAGGGGGGAGCCCAGCACCACACACCCACTTGCCTCACTGTTTCAAGTCCCAACAGGCCCTGGCCTCACCGGCCTCCACAGGTAGGCAGCGTGAGTCTGCATCTGTTGGCTGCCTTCCCTGCCGGAGGACGTGCAGCTCTAATTGCTCAGTGCCCCGCAGTCAGCAGCATGGAGAGGACAGTGAACGATAGACAAACGCTCAGAGCGGCACAGAGGGAGACCCCTCCCAGGTCTGGGCAGAACAGCGCTATGGGAAACCTGCGGCTCTATGACAGAGCCCTCCCTACGTGGTCCTCACTAGATATAGGAAGGAAAAAGCACCTTCCTGCCAGCCTTCCTCCTGGGGCCACACTCATCTAAAACTCAGGGGGGAGAAAATCCCATTTCTTCATGGGAACTCTCCCCCATGGCATTAAATTCAGTAAGCAAACACATACAAGCACCTCCGAAGTACAAGGACGCTTCTGAAAGAAGCCAAGTAAGTGTGCTGGGTGGGTGGATACCAAGTCCCCGAGAACGATCCCAGCAAAGGGGCAGCAGCTCCACCTGCTGGGCCCTTTTCCACCCTGGCACCAGGAATCAGAAATCAGAAAAAGATTGGCCGGGAGCAGTGGCTCATGCCTGTAATCCCAGCACTTTAGGAGGCCGAGGAGGGATGGATCACCTGAGGTCAGGAGTTTGAGACCAGCCTGGCCAACATGGCAAAACCCCATCTCTGCACCTGTAATCCCAGCTACTAGAGAGGCCGAGGCAAGAGAATCACTTGAATCCAGGAGGCAGAGGTTGCAGTGAACCAAGATTGCGCTACTGCTCTCTAGCCTGGGCAACAGAGCGAGACTCCATCTCAAAGAAAAAGATGAATTTAAGAATAAAGCTAAAAGTTGACACTCTCCTGCTTTGGCAGGAAGGGCCCTAAAATGTGGCAACAGACTAAGACTGAGCTGGGCTCACTGAATTCTCTGCTGGACAGACCAGAAGGGTCTACGTCACCATGGAGCTGGTTTGGAGACTTGCTCACAAGACCTGAGCCAAACGAGTCCTCAGAAATGCCGTCCAGCTCCATAGTCTGCCCACAGCCCCCTGGGTACAACTAGAGCAGTATGCCATCAACAGCCCAAATCACCCTAGGCCAAGAAGGGTGGATTCCTAAGCAAATACTCTTCCCTCCCCAACAAACCAGCAGTCTGGGATCCCATGGGCACCAAAGCAGCAAAGCCCTGGCCATTCTCAGAACCCATGGCGCTGGAGCTGTCCTTGCTTAGTCACAAGGGGCAGCCAATATCTTTGCTTAAAAACCTTAGGTCTTGGAGACAGCAGAGTGTAACAGCAATTCAGAACACCCAGCTCCCCTTATAGTTCTCTGATTACCTTCAGCCTGGAACTCACAGCACACCAAGAGGATGGACTTTCCTGCTCCATTTGGCCGGGGCGTGTCCCTCTTCAAGTGTCACTGTTTGTGCCCACGTACCAGAGGGTGTGTAGGTATGCCTGTATCTGTTTATGAGGATTGAGTTATACGTGCCTTGTGCATCTGTGAACATGAGATCTTATGGGGCAAGCCTACCTTCATATGGGTGTATGGCTCATGAGAAGGCATTTAGGTCTATCCTCCACTTTCTCACCCAGCAGGGGCAAGTGACAGAGCAGCAGCATCCAGCTGTTTGACCCCAGGATCAGACTGCTGCTTAGTCTGCTCATTCCTCTGTCCATTACCACTGTGATGAGTCCCTTCCCTGGTTTGATCCTCAGATCTCCTAAAACTGTCAGCACTGACTGAGCTCAGGACCTCCCCAGAAGGGAGTGCACGCACACACAGTAGGAAGCATTTCCTTCCTCAAGGCAAAAGCTATTGGTTTCTGTTTCCTCGCCCTTCTTCCTGTTTTCCAGGGCCCCTGATTTAAATCCCACTGGGTACACCCTGACGAAACAGGCTTCCAGTCTAGGCTTGTACAGGAACTTCGCAGTCATCGGCACTTATTAAATATTACCAATTTTTTTTTTAAGCCTTAAAATCCATACATGGCTATTGTCCCTCCATGGATAAGGGCTGAGCAAGCCCCCCTGAAAACCCCACTCCTTGTTCTCCCACGTTTGCTCTAAGCATGTTCAATCCTGTCCTTACTGGCCTTGGCCTATAGTCCTGATATGGGCAAACGAAGGAGAGAATCAGGGAAAAAAAGGAAGCTGGCCAACGCACTCAGGGGTCCATATTCCCAGAGTGAAGGTCTGTACCAAACCATTATAGCCTTGGGATTGTGAGTTGGCATGGAGTGCAGAGGGCAGAGACAGAGCCAGGTCTATTCCGATTTGAGCTTCATCAATAAAGAAGAGGTGCTCCTGTGGGTTCCTTGTTCCAAGAGTTTCTATCTGCAGCTGTTAAGTAAGAGAAAAAAATTCCTCCTCGTATAATTTATGAAGCCACCTGAATAGCCAATAAGATAATAAGTGAGGGTAAAATCAGTCTATCCACTGGATAAAACACTATGCAATCATTAAAAATGATATTTATTTTAATGTTTACTCTAACGTATATTACTGTAAAAACATTTTGTGATGTAACAAAGCAGGAAAGAGCTAAGAATTTAATTTAAAAGTAGGACATCAAATTGTTAACTATAAAACACAAAAACATGGACCAAAAGTGATGCACAGCTTTACAAAATGGAGGAAATTAACTAGACTCTACTCACAGTAATTGCTCACCTCCACAGCTCTAGCTCCTAGCACAGTTAAGTATGCAATAAATATTTGTTATTATTGAATAAGCACTGGGATTAGGAACGAATTAATCTATTTTCCAAATCTGCTGTAATGAGATCCTGTAAGTTTCATAATAAAAAAAAATTATAGGCCAGGCATGCTGGCTTATGCCTGTAATCCCAGACCTTTGGGAGGCCAAGGTGGGAGGATCACTTGAGCCCAGGGGTTCAAAACCAGCCTGGCCAACATGGCAAAACCTGGTCTCTACAGAAAATTTAAACATTACTCAGGCATGGTGGCACATGTCTATATCCAGCTACTTGAGAGGCTGAAGCAGAAAGATCACTCGAGCCCAGGAATTCAAAGTTGCAATGAGTCATGATCACATCACTGCACTTCCAGCCTGACAACAAAGACCCTATCTCAAATTGTTAAAAAAAAAAAAAAAAAAAAAAGTTATGTATATAAAAATAAGACTAATTTCACAATCCAAAAATAATTACAGAAGGGACAGAGATTTAATGTTGTCCATAGGAAGACGTTAATGTCAGACTGACAATTTAGTTACGGTTACAAACTGGAAAACCATGCCATTTGGACTAATGGAATTTGAAGTTACTAGAAAAAGACAATAGATTTTTTGATGCAGAATGACAAGGCTTATCTATAACATGTCAACGTTTTCGACGACTCTGAAATTTATAAATAGCTGGGGAGTTCACTGTTTCTTTCTTCACCTTTACTTTCTGAGTTTTATCCTACAAAAGAGTAAAAAGGTGATCAGTAAAGAGAAGGAAATGGTCAGTCATTTTGTAAAATAGAAAGGTTAATAAACTACCTACTAGAAAGCCCCATTTCAACGCTTCTCAAAGTTGAGAAGAGACAGAGCCCTACTGCCCAAGGCATCCACTGCATACAACGAATTAACTTCTCCCCTAGGCCTCTAAAAAGTACTGGCTGTGTATATTCCGTGGGAAAAGTGAGAAAAAAGGTGTTCAAGTAGTTGTTTCATTTAAAATTATCATTTTAATTCTCTCACGGAACCCCAGTTGAGAAAGGCTGACCTAAATGATCCGCAAAGCTAAAGAATTTGACATTTAGAGAAATGATAAGAATATGAAGGAGGCATCTTATATTCCTCAGCTCTGCTATTTAACTACACAATGTTGTCTATTTTTAAACACCAATGAGTGACATGCACTGTTTTGTTAACCTGTTTAAATGTTACGGGAGCTGCTCATAAGCTATAAAGTTCATATGCTACCCGATCCTACCCTTTGCTGTTCCAAAGCACTGACTAATAACCCCCTTATTACCTTCTTAATCAAGGAACATTTCAACACTGTCAGAGTAACAGACACTGGCTCAAACCACTGCCCCTGAGGAGCAGACATTTTCACTGGGGTTGATTTACACATAGCTGAAATCCAGTCTGAGTTAAGACCTTTACAAGAAAGAAAAGGAAAAAAAAAAAGCCTAAGGCTGTCTTTCCTTACCAGAAGATCTTTGCGTGTTTGAATTTTCTGAGCAATAATGAACAATTTCTTCTCTCGTTCAATCCGCTGTGTCAGGCAGTTATACTGCTTTTGCCTTTCTTTAGCTATTCGCTGCAGAAGAAACAGACATATTCTCAGTGACACAATGAACAGGACAAAAATGAGCAAGAAACTGTTTCTTAATCCATTTAAGCCAACTGCATAGTGTCATCAAATCCCTCCTTTCACCAGAATCAACATAACGTGGTAACAATGAAGTTGCCCATTTTAGAAACATCACATTCTGAAGCTAAAAGGAACCCTGGGCCAGACGGTGGCTCACGACCGTAATCCCAGGAGTTTGGGAGGCTGAGGCAGGAGGATTGCTTGAGCCCAGGAGTTTGAGACCAGTGTGGGCAACATAACGAGACTCTGTCTCCAAAAACAATTTTTTTTTTATTAAAAAGGAACCCTAGGCCAGGCACAGTGTCTCACGCCTGTAATCCGAGCGCTTTGGGAGGCCAAGGTGGGCAGATCACCTGAGGTCGGGAGTTCGAGACCAGCGTGATCAACATGGTGAAACCCTGTTTCTACTAAAAATACAAAATTAGCCAGGCATGGTGGTGCATGCCTGTAATCCCAGTTACTTGGGAGGCTGAGGCAGGAGAATTGCTTGAACCTGGGAGGTGGAGGTTGCAGCAAGCGAAGACTGTGACATTGCACTCCAGCCTGGGCAACAAGAGTGAAACTCCATCTCAAAAAAGAAAAAAAAAAGAAAGAAAAGAAACCCTATAGACTACCTTATCAAAACCTATCATTTACAAATGCAGAAAAATGAGGCCCAGAGAAGAAGTAAGTGGCCGAACGACACATGGCTCACCTGGAGCAGAGTCAGGACTGTCCCCGTCTCACAAACCCCAGGAATCTTTCCACTACTACGCTAACCTGCTTCAACCTTTGTGTGAGTGCTGCAATCACCTGAGATGACAGCAGGAATGAGTGTGTTGGAAACCCTACACAAAGTGAATGGAGAACAGAAGGGTCCCCAGGCAGTATGCTGGTACCTGAGAATCTTACCACACAGAGAGCAGAATTTTTTCAGCAGAAGCTGACCTGAGAATTCTCACTGCTAATGACTCCTCAAAGACCAATGGGGTCCTTAAGTTTTGGGGAATCATCAACCTCAGAGAAACTGATGAAAGCTTTGGGACCTTTCTTTCTTTTTTTTTTTTTGAGACAGAGTCTTGCTCTGTCACTCAGGCTGAAGTGCAGGGGCAGGATATTGGCTCACTGCAACCTCCGCCTCCTGGGTTCAAGCAATTCTCCTGCCTCAGCCTCCCACGTAACTGGAATTGCAGGTGCCCACCACCATGCCTGGATAATTTTTGTATTTTTAGTAGAGACATGGTTTTTTCCACCATGTTGGCCACGCAACTCTTGACCTCAAGCGGTCCACCCACCTTGGCCTCCCAAAGTGCTAGGACTACAGGCATGAGCTACCTCGCCCAGCCTGGGATCTTTCTTGAGATAAATGTACATGTTACATGTTTGTAAAAGGCTATGCAAGCACATGTACCTATCTGCACAAAATACCAGCAAGAAAAAGGGGCTTTCACAGACCCCCTAAAGCTCATTCCTGGGTTGTCTATCCATTCCAAGTTACAGACAAAATATCCTTGCAATCCACCCACCAGCAGTCTCTTAATAAAAATAATTTTGCAGTAAACGAAATAGAAAGAAACAGCACTACTAGACAAAATGGCAAAATCTAAACCTTCCTAACTTTTCAAAAGCTTTGCTGGTGAACTATTCTACATAGGAGTTTGGAATACTAATCTCTTTAGGGACTACCACAATTCTTGAGAAGTGTCAGTGACATGGCTAACTGAAAGTACACCTAATTGACAAACAACAGGGCTATCACAAGAGCACTCAAGAGCAGGCTCTTCAGCTGGAAGTGTTATCGACATAGAGGGAAATATTGCTGGGCCTCAGACTTCAGCAATCCACGGATTCTAGCACAGTCTCACAGCAGTGGCTTCAGACAGCTTTTGTTTTCGCTTTATTGCACAGACTGTCAGATTTATGGGATTACCCAATATAGTCAAACTAATTAGGGGTATTTATATTACTAAAGCAAGTTTAGCTGCCTCTGAGCTAGAGAAAACTGCTGTGAAATTAAACATTGGAAGCAAAACTGATGCGGTGTAAATGATTCAAATCAAAACAGAACAGCTGTCTGCTTGAAACACATTGACAGCATTTTTTTTTAATGAATCAGTCAGAAGAGTTCAACTCCAGAAGGCTTTGAGGAAAAGCATGTCTTCTGCACAACCCAGTTACAGTGATGGAAAGCACCATAAGGAAAACTCAATACAAAATGTTTGTTACAATACATAATATGAAAGACCTTTTGGGCAGGCATGGTGGCTCAAGCCTGTAATCCCAGCACGTCAGAAGGCCAAGGCGCCAGGAAACACTTGAGCTCAGGAGTTTGAGACAAGCCTGGGCAACATAGCAAGACCTCCTTTCTACAAAAAAAAAAATTAAAATTTAGCTAGGCATTGTGGCACACACCTGTGGTCCCAGCTACCCAGGAGGCTGAAGCAGGAGAATCGCTTAAGCCCAAGAGGTGGAGGATGCATTGAACCATAATCACACCATTGCACTCCAGCCTGGGTGACAGAATGAGACCCTGTCTCAAAAAAAAATTTTTTTTAAATAGAAAGGCCTTTTGATGTGTGCATTCACTGCTAAAGGTTCAATATTAAAGTATTCCAAATCCTTTAATCTTCAGCAATCCCTCCTTTCTCTGCATTTTAAAAACACTGGTATCTGTTACAAGCATTAAAAGCACAAAGTGCAGGGTCAGAACTGGGATTCAAACCCAGGTCTAAAAGCCAGAACCTAAGCTCCTGACCACTATACCAACACATCCTCCGATCACAGAAACAGGGAGCCACTTCCATCCCATCATCAAATCCTCCTTCAAATCCACTTTTCTAAAAGAACTTCATGGGTTTTCCATAAATAATTATTTTAGGCCGGGCACGGTAGCTCGCGCCTGTAATACTGACACTTTGGGAGGCCGAGGCAGATGGATCAATTGAAGTAAGGCATTCAAGACCAGCCTGGCCAACATGGCGAAACTCCATCTCTATGAAAAACACAAAAATTAGCTGGGTGTGAAGGTGCACTCTTGTAGTCCTAGTTAATGGGGAGACTGAGGCATGAGAATTTCTTGAACCCAGGAGGCAGAGGTTGCAGTGAGCCAAGATCACGCCACTGCACTCCACAACAAAGTGAGACTCTGTCTAAAAAATAATAATAAAACTTTAAAAATTATTTTTAAAACAAAGGGGAAAAAAAAAAAAAAAAAAAAAAACCTAGATTCCCCTAAACTCACATGTGAAGAACGGAGAAAATTACCTTAAGTCCAGTCTGATGGGTAACTCCTTTCACTTTTTCCTTCTGCAAGGTCTCTATCCTGGGCCTATTAAAGACTCTGTCGACTAGTTCCGGGGCTGTTTGCAGATGAGTTGCAACATCAAACTGTTCAACTAAAATTCAAGACAATCTTTAAGGCACTGTCTGTTTCTAACACCAAACGACACAGACTGGCACGGCAGACTGTCCCAGAAACCCTTAAACATTTCATACCTTCCTTTTTGGTGTCAAAAAAGAACACATGCTTGCTCTGTTGCTTCCCCTGGAAATCCAGCAGATGGAGCTCTGATTTTAGTCTTTCAATTTTCTAGAACACAGAATATGGTCTCACTTTATATTAGATTCTTCTGGCGTATCAAAAAAAAAAAAACAAACTGCAAAAGTTTAAACCATTTCACATCATTATTGCCAGCCAGCAAAGAACTTGCTTCATCTTATTTTTCTTTTTTATTTATTTATTTTTTTCTTTTTCTTTTTTCCTTCCACCACTTGTCGGCAGGAAGCTTCAACCTTTTAAAGGAAAGGATTCCATGTATACATGAAGTACCGGGCTAGGCACTTCCCAAAACGCACTTAACCCTTGCAACAATCCTCTGAGACAGAAATGAGGGAAGAGCCTCAGGGAGTTGAATTTGCCCACTGTCATGGGGCTAAGTCATTGGCAGTGCCAGAATTCAAACCTAGGTCTGTCTCATTCACAAACCTGAACTCTTTCCGCTCTACCATGCTAACTATACTTCTAAATCATTATCACAATCAGGTAAGATTGTAAATGCCAGAATAAATTAACGAATAACTCGAGACTGACGATTTTAAGTTTCTTTCTTAACCAATAAACCAAACAGAACAGAGAGTCAATTGTTACCTTAGCTTCTGCAACCCTTTTCATTTCTATATATTTGACATCCTGAGTTCTCATCAGCTTTAGTTGTTCTGGGGTTACTTCTTCCTTAGTCTGCTTAGTAACATGTACTCCATCCTAAAATCCAAATTTAAAAGATATATTCCCTATTAAAATCATTAAGAAGTTGTGGCACAGTACATGGTTAGAATAAAGAAAACCATAGGGCAGGTACAGTGGCTCACACCTGTAATCCTAGCACTTTGGGAGGCTAAGATGGGCAGATCACTTGAGGTCAGGGGTTCAACACCAGCCTGACCAACATGGTGAAACCCATCTCTACTAAAAATACAAAACATTAGCCAGGCATGGTGGTGTGTGTCTGTAGTTCCAGCTACTTGGGAGGCTGAGGCACAAGAATCATTTGAACCCAGGAGTCAGAGGTTGCAGGGAGCCAAGGGCATGCCACTGGACAACAGAAAGAGAATACATCAAAAAAAAAAAGAAAAGAAAAACCCCCAAAGCAAAAGGACAACCAAATGCTGCATGCTAACAGCATTCCTAGACACAGGCCCCTGAGGCACAAGTTCAATGTAGCACCTCCAGCCAGCCATCCTAGAACAGCTCCAGGGTTAAGACAACTCAGATTCAAAGGCAGAAACGCATGCTCCTCTGGAAGTGGCAGGTTTGCCTTGGACACTGACCAAGAGCACCTGGAGTAACCAGAGAAGGGTTAAATTAAGGCCAAGGATCCTTCCTCTCCATCTCCTCCCTATCCTTATTTTCCAATGTGTGGAGCTCAAAACACCAACCAAAACACCAACCAAGCCATTGGGCACCCACCTGGAGTTTAACTCGAGTCATTTTGTAGTAGAATTCATCTGGATTTTTTTCAAGAGCCTTCTTCCGGAGAGCTCTGAGGTATTCTTGTTTTTTACGGTAGTCACTAAAAGACAGGTTAAATGCATAGCAAAAAACAAAAGAGGTAGCTTTAAAAAACCAAAAACCCACAATAAGCAAACTTTACAAGCATCTAAAAGGTCACACAAAGTGAAACTCGAAAAAGCCAAAGCAGTGACTGGATCTGACGGACACTCCACTGTCACTGAGCTGAGCTCATGTCTTCACAGGGTCCACAATCTAATCAACAGTTCCTATTCCAGTGGAACCTGAAATTAACTGTCCCCAGCCCACATATGTTTCCGTGCCATTGACATCATTACAGGGAGACACCAAACAAAATACAAATTAAAACTCCTTAGAGAGGGTATGGTGTAAGCTTGGGCACCAAATGACCACATATAATTCAGAAACTACACAGTACAGTATAGCATAATGACTAGAATCGTGGACTCTGGAGCCAGACAGCATGGGTTCAAATCTGGACTTGACACTTCCGGCTAAGCAATTTTGGGTAAGTTATTTAACCACTCTGCATCCCAATTTCATTTGTAAAATGAACACGGTAATAGTAACCTATCCCAGAAGGTTTGTTGGGAAGGATAAATCAGGTGTAAAAATGGTAAATATCCTGGAACACTGCCTGGCCCAATAAACAACACTTAATTATCATTAGCCTTAAAATCTCTGGGACCTACAGAAACCCACTTAATCCATCGCCACCATCTATACCAGGGGCATAAGAAGGACCTCAGCTGACATGTATGGCTAACAAATAATTATGAAGTATTCTGCAAATCAAGTGCTAATAGAGAAGAAGAATGGGGATAATTGTTTTATAAAATGTTTTCAGAGTTCATTATCACCCACGCTTGGTCTCATGAATCTGTCTTTCACATCTCTTCATTCCACAACACACCACACACATGGTGATGTAAGAGACTCAACAAATGGAATTTTAGATTATATCTTGCACTTCAAGAAAACAAGGAGAAAAAAAATTCAGCTTTGGGCTCAAACGCCAAGGCAGAGCCAAATCAAAGCCACTATGAGAAAAATGATCTGGAACAGCATAATAAAAATAACTCACAATGCCACTACAGTTAAATAAATAATGATGTGCCTAAACAAAGAGAGAAATGTAGGGTCACAGAAAAATTATCTGACAGGCTGCCAGAGCTTAGGCCATTTTATCAATGGCAGGAAATTATCCCTTGTCGGACACTCAGGCAATTCAGCTGCAGTGCAAGGAGGCTGTAAGCTTTCTTGGCAGCGAATCTACCAGAAAGACTGAACTCACTCTGCACGAAGTTTGTAATCTTTCTTTTTCTCCAGTAGGCCCAGATGTTTTCGAAAGCCAGGCTAGAAGACAAAAGAAAAAACAACAGTGCTTAGTTTCTTCAGTGAACACATATCCAAATCAACATGAAACCTCACAGGCACTGGAGTCTGGAGCGCTTAGTAAATCCAGTCCTTGGAGCTAACCCATGACCCTGTCCCTCCCCTCCCAACAACTGGGCTCTGCCCAAGGATGAGCGGGACCATGCCAGCACCAAACAGGTCACAAGCACTGCTGTAGTAGGTTTCTTGGCCTATTAAGGACAGAGACAGGCAACAATGACTCGGCACTAAGCAAGCAGTTGCCAGTTGTACTAAAATTACTACCAACTTAATCCATGGGTTTAGAAAATACTACAAAGGGAAAACACAGTCACAGGGAGGCAACTGTGGTAAGGGAGCTAAATTTAGAGTTTGGAGATATGGGTTCAAATCTAAGCTTTACCTCTGAACAATCTGTGACCTTGGGCATGTCACTTAACTTCTCTGAACCGCTATTTCCTGACTATAACATGAGAACAGTACCTGCTTCTCCAGGTTATCCTGAGGATTCAAGGAGCTTGTGTAAATGGTAATGACTGCACATGGTTTCACACATAGCAGCTGTCCAGCATGAGTTTACTTTTTTTTTTT